GTGTTGGAAGCCACAAGAACAGCCAACAACACATCAATCTGGATGCAAGATTGGCCCGGGTCACACATCGTCCTGTGCAAACTGAACTGAGCTGAACTGAACTGCATCATTTACTAAAGACTCACTACAGAGTATTGACCTTCGAATGCACTAAAACAAATTCAACTGCAAGAATCGGTGAAATAGGATTTGCCACGGACCTTCGACACTATATTTATAGGCAGGAAAGAAGAAAATATCATTGTTATTGTGAATGATTTTAGGTAGTTCAAAGATAGGCTCACAATATGGTGTCGATTCGCAATATTTTCGTTGAGTGTCCCCTAGGGGACACTCAGCGGACGGCCGAGAAACCAATCAGTCGCTGAGGTGGACGCACACTCGTGAGCACAGCAGCGAAGGAATTCAGGACCCTTGATTGCCCTGTAGCCACTACCGGTTTTGTGTTTCACCGTACAATTTTTGAAGTTTTTTTGTTCGTTGTTTTTACGGAAATGGAGGTTACCCGAGAAATAAGTTGTCTCGAACGGTATAAAGCTTCCAGCCCAGACGGGCTCTCCTCATCGGTTTTTAAGGATGGAGGATCAGCCTTGGTTTTGGAGTTAACGAAACTCCCGGGCGCAGTGTACACTGGGAGAAGGAAGAGGTTCCAGCTGAATGGTGTGAATCGGTGATCATATCGATTTACAAGAAAAGTGGCAGATCCTCTTGTGAGAACCACAGAGGAATTAGTTTAATTAACATTGCCTCGAAACTTCTCGCCGGTGTCATACTCCGTTGGTTGTCTGCCGCACGTAAAGTGTGCACGCGTGAAAACCAAGCTGGTTTTAGACGTGGTCGAGGTTGTATCGACCACATCTTCACCCTCCGCCAAATTCGAGAGCATCGACATTCCTTTCTTAGACCCACCATCTTTATCTTCCTCGATCTGAAAGCGGTTTTCGACTGAGTCGACCGCTCTAGACGCTGGCGCTGCGTTTTTCTGAAAGGTGTGCCGCAGAAGTTTATTTCAATATTACGATCCCCCAATACTTATAGTGAAGCCGAGTCCGAGCTTACGGCACTTTTTCACCCGAGTTCACCACGGAAATTGATGTTCGACAGGGTTACCCTCTCCCCTTTTCTATTTGACTTGATTATGGAAACAGCCCTATGCGCGGATAGTGGCATTAATTTACTCCCAGGTGGCAGGCTGTCTGATCTAGAGTAAGCAGACGACATTGTGCTACTAATTGAAGATCCAGGTAAGTTACAAACTTTTCTGGAAAGTTTGAATGCTAGTGTTGTCATGTTCGATATGCGTTTTTCACCTTCAAAGTGTAAAATGATACTACAAGACTGGGTCGGTCCTGCAGCGAGCCTCACTCTAGCTGGGGAAGTAATAGAGCAGGTGGATGAGTTTTGTTATTTGGGCAGCTACATCTCACCCGGTGGACGCATCACGGATGAAGTATCAGCTCGCATACAGAAGGCTCGGTTGGCATTTGCCAACGCGCTGACGCGACATCCGGCTGTCTGTGAAGGGTCGAGTGTATGCTGTAACAGTTCGGTCAGTTCTGCTATATGGAGCAGAAACTTAGCCATTAAGAAAAAAGGACAAGGATAAACTGTCGGTGTTTGAACACCGCTGTCTACGCAGCATTGCACGAATCTGGTGGGGCAGCCGGACGAGCAATTCTGAGTTGAGGCGATTGGTTGACCTCCATAGATTACGTTGGTTGGGGCATGTGTTACGCATGTCACCAAATAGGTTGCCACTGCGAGCGATGTTTTCCGAGACAGTTATTGGATGGAAAAAGTTGAAGGGTGGTCAAGCCAAGACCTGACATGAAGGCATGAAAACCGTAACTAGGCGTCTGGGTCACGTAAGTCGCGTTAGGCTCCCTGAATGGGGACCTCGGGATCGTCGTACCCGATGGTTAGAGGCACTGAGTGATATGGCTGGGTGTCGTAAACAGTGATGTTCGTGCATATTCTGGATTACTCTGCTTCATTAGTCCACTGAACTTTTCAATTTTCTCTTCGATCCCACTTTCAACCTTCCTGTTTTCCTGCTATTGTTCACCCAAATGGGCAGCCAAAAGACAGCCACCAAAAGCGTCGTGCGAAAATGCATGTTTAATGGTTGTATAAACTGAACTGTACTGAGAATACCGCGTTTAAGAGGGGGTTCGTCTAATTATGGACGTAGGTGCTCGAGGCAGTTTAGAGAAGGTCCTCCAGAACAATAAGTGGACTTCTAGGGAGGGCATAAAAGGAACGGCAGGTGGTCCTCGGATTTCTTTCAACTGTATCACCGCAGTCTAGGGGGGACTCAATTGAAACGGTTAAACAACTAAAGGGGGTGTTAGTAACTGACAGGTCATTGTTTACGCTGAACCACAACCCAACGCTCAGAGGTCATGAACTGCAATTGGTGGAACTATGGACCAACAAGAGCGCCAGGGTGCAATTTTTCTCCTACCGCGTGGTAAACGAATGGAATAAATTACCACACACGGTAGTCCCAGCGATCTTTGTTGCTCAATTCAAACGAAGGTTAGACAACTGCTGGGACGAGGTGTTCACGGGGTATAACTAGCGGTAGTCTCGCAGTTACTACCCACATCTCCCTTACCCATTTTTTTCTCTATCGTACCAGCATAACATTTGCTTTTGGCACCTCCAGTGTCAAATATTATTACAAGACTGGGTTGGCTCTGCCCCCAACCTCACTCTGACTAGTGAAGTAATACAGCCAGTGGACGAGTTTTGTTATTTGGACAGCTGTATCTCACTTGGTGGACGCATCACAGGTGATGTGCCAGCTCTCACATCGAAGGTTCAATCGGCATCTGCCAACTTGCGATTTCTTTGACACCGCCGCGACATCTGGCTGTCCGTGAAGGGTCGGGTGTATGCTGCGGCAGGCCGACCAGTTCTGCTGTACAGCGCAGAAATTTTTCCGATGCAAGAAAAGTATGAAGATGTACTGTCGGTGTTCGAACACCACTGTCTTCGTTGTATTGCATGAATCTGGTGGAACAACCGGACAAGCAATGCTGGCGTTAGCTGCAGAGTTTTAGGTGACTGCAGTCGCCCATTGGAACAATTGTCTTGCGCAATGCCGCCGAATAGGTTACCATGGCGCGCAATGCTTGGTGCGTAGCGGATGGCAAAACCCAAAAGTGGTCAAAATAAAACCTACACTCGATCCTGCAAGTTGTGTTAGGCTTCCTGTATGGAGACTTCGGGATCATTGTAATCAACGATTAGAGGCACAGTGATATGACTGTGTCGTAAACAGGGGTGTTCGTACATTCTCAGTTTCTTAACACCCTCAGTCCGCAGAAATTATCCATATTCTCTTTGAACTTCCCCGTCTTTTCTAATGCTTCGTCCAAATAGGTGGTCAAAAACTGAATTTTGTTTTCTTTTCTCTTGCACAAATAACGCGAGTTTGCACTTTTTGGATAAGTTTTAATAATGCATCGTTAGCTTAGTTTACTTTAGTCTTGGGGGTTCTTATTTCTGATCGACTTTGTTCATTCATTTCTGCTTTGGATTGTCTGAGTTTCATAACGGTGATGAAGGAATTTTACTTTCTGAAAGTGGTTTTTTGGCTTTGAAAAGGTTTGAGGATGAACGTAGTGCAAGATAAACTGTAATCGTCGCGGATATATCCTTTATTTCCGCTTTCATTCCGTTCCAGTTCCTTCATCTTTCTCATTTCTTTAATATTTACAATGGCTTTGAACAAATATATGCATCCGCGTAATCCATATCGCCATCGTAGGCCAAACTTCAAGCAGCTAGCTAAGAAGTACCCTTTCTTTGAGGAAGTCGCCTATGTGGATGAAAACGATCGCGTGAACATCGATTTCAAGAAGCCGTTGCATCTTGCTGCTCTTTCCAAAGCATTGCTACTTGATGATTTTGGAATTAAGGTGGAACTCCCACTTGATCGCTTAGTTCCGACCATTCCACTCCGCCTAAACTATATCCTCTGGCTTGAGGATTTTATCAAGAGTAAGTAGTTCGTAATTTTTCTTCAACATCTTTTCAGGTTTCTCGAATCCTGCATCCAATGTTCGTATTTTGGATGTTGGAGTTGGTGCTTCTTGTATCTATCCGTTGTTAGGAGCCAAAAAGAATAACTGGAGTTTCATCGGTACGGAAACTGATCAGAGAAATTTCACCTTTGCTCGGGAGAATGTAATTCGAAACGGTTTGCAAGACTTAATAAAACGTACGTTTTCAAGCTTTTTTGTGTCACTTAGCTAACGTCTCACCTGGCATGAAGCGCAACCATGTAGCTCACAACTTTTTCAGTGTTGTCCCTCGTCGCTTACTGAGAACAATCCAGGTGGACTACATTGAAAAAGGCTTGTTGTTCTTAAAGATCGCGGACTAGAACCAGTCCCGATCGGAAGGAGAACTACTAAATGGTTGCTTCTGTGTACGCGAATGTGCACTCACACCAGGAGAAAAGGCAAAATTAAGCCAGGTGATTGCCGATCGAGAATGGATAAATTTAGCATGTATGCACACCCTATAGATTACATGGCAGAGAGTGAATCATCTGCAGTCGCTGCAACCTGGACACACTCAGATGAGCAGTGTGGTTGATTCCCATTACACGAACTGCAGTACCGGCACAGAAGAAGACGAGTTCTACCATCAACTCATCGATCTCCACAGTAGAGGACGTGATACTAGCCGGCGACTGAAACGTACAAGTAGGTAGGTAGGTTGGACGCTGACGAAACCACTTTTTGGTCAGCATAGTCTTGGTGTTAGGAGAACTGACAACGGCGACCGTCTCCTGCAAATCTGCACAGCATGGTCTCTTCCTTCCAAGCACCAATGTTCGCCGACCATGGCGCCAACGTGCTAC